TGATACAGCTAAGTGAGGCAGAATTTGAGCTCAAGTCTTCCTGAAGCCCAATGCCTTATTTACTACATAGTTGCCTATAACATCTCTTGCCTATCAATAATCAATAAACATTTATTAAATAACCTACTGTGTACTAGGCATTATGCTAAGCACTGGGGATACAAAAGGAGGCAAGACAGTTCCCATTTATAAGTTGCTTACAAGTTAATGAAGTTCTAAGATGTTGGATTTCTGCCTGGACTGATCTACCTGTCTTCATCCGTTATCTATCCCCCCACATGATATTCCCAAAGCGTAGGTCTGACCATATTACATTCTTGGTCCAAAAGCTTCAGTAACGCCCATTTGACTCTAGGACCAAACAGAAACCCCTCTATCTGGTATTTGAAGCCCTTCACAATCTAGCTCCAGCCCTGTACCTTTCTGGAGTTATTGTACAGAGCTCCCCTTTATGCGTTTTATGTTTCAGTCAAGCTATCTCACTTGTTCCTTACCCATGATATTCCATCTCCCACCTTTGTCTTTTCACAGCATTAAACCTCACCACTACCCACCCCCAGCTCCAATTCCTAGAATGCTCTCTCCCTTAAAATCTCTAGCCTCTTAAATTCGACTCAAATACCCTGACCTGCAGAAGGCCCTTCCTGATCCCCACAAGCTTCTAGTTTTATTTCATTCATGTATATGTTGAATTTACTTACAGGTATATGTATTATTTCCTCTGTTAGAATGTAGGGTCCTTGAGGGCAGAGACTACTTTCTGTTTTTGTGTCCACAGCACTTAGGAGGGTTGCTTGGCATGTGATAGGCACTTAATAAATGCTTGGGATTGACACAAGGCAGGTTTCAAAGTGGGTAAGAAGAGTGTCTGGGTTCCCTGGCTCATTCAGAAGTAGTAGGTGCTGAAAGGCCTGGAGGCTCAGAGAGCAGCTCTTGTGGTCTGATCCCAAATCCCCTGTGAAAGAGGGTTTACTTTCTCACTCTTCCTCTGCCTTGGGGCAGTCAGGTTTCCTGCTCCCCTTGTTCCCCCCAAAACAAAAACAAAAAACAAACCAAAAACTTCTGTCCTGAGCATGAACAAAATTCTTCCCTTTAATTTGTGGTTAGAGTAAAAAAGGCTTCCTGGCAAATTAAAAAAAAAATCAAATGAAACATCATGGTATATAGAATTCAAGGCTGTCACATTTAGGATGATGCAGAGGATCTTCAGTTAACTGCTGACCGTTTCTCTGAAATTCTATTCTAGATCTTGACCTATTTCAAGAATCAGACGGGTGGTATCCCAGCAACCTCATCAGCCCAGAGAAGGCTGGTTCTTTCCTTAGGTGAAACTAATCTTATCAGTCTCGCTGGTGTCTCAGCCTATTGCACAGGGCTCATGGAGGCTGTCTTACACGTGGAAGCCTCTTTAGCCTGTGTTATGGTTTCTTATCCTGCATTCAGGACTTACATGCTTCAAAGATAAGTTTGGTAAGTTCTGGCTTTCATTAAGGCCTGTGGCAATTTACCAGGGTCTTTGGGTTTCAACCTCCCAGAGCTAGAATGACTGACTGACAGGTTCCCGCTAGGGTCCAATGAGCTGCATGGCTAGGTTAGCCAGTTTCCTTCGGTTCATGGGAAGCTCATTTAGTTTGTCTCCCCTCCCTAAATGGTAATCCAAGGTTCTATTTTACAATACCAATTTACATACCACATACTTTAAACACTTGGTAATAAAATAGTCAGCCAATTTCCACCCACAATAAGATAGTTCAATTCAACAACAAACATTTATTATTGTGCTAGGCAGCAGAGATAAAAAGGTGGAATAATAGATTCCTTCACATCAAAGGACTTACAATGTAGCAGGTAAGAAAATCTAGGTGAGAAAAAAAATGTGCATACAAACAACAATTATAGGAATCAGATTATAAACACATAGGAGAGGGCCAAATAAAGCATCAGAGGCCACCCATTCAAAGGCACAGAGATGGAATGTCATTTGTGAGAAATCCAGCAGGCCATTTGATTAGACGGTAGAGTGGATGAAAGAGAATAATGTGTAATATAATAATAATAACGTATGAAAGAGAGTAATGTGTAATGAGTCGAGAAAGATAGGCTGCAGCCAGATTGTGAAGGACTTTAAAATGCCATACAGAAAGGTTGGTATTTTATCCTAGAGGCAAGAGAGAATTGGGGGCTTGAGTAGGGGAGTGATATGGTCGGGCCTATAGTTCAGTAATAACTACTTGGCAACTGTGTTGATGTATTAGAGAGGAGAGAGACTGGAGATTGGGAGGTAAACTGCAGTAGTTCAGCCGAGAGTAGTCTGGACTGCTCTTTTTATTTTATTGTTTTTGAGGCAATCAGGGTTGAGTGACTTGTCCAGGTCCACAGCTATTAAGTGTCCGAGGCCGGATTTGAACTTGGGTCTTATTGACTGCAGGACCAGTGCTGTATCCACTGTACCACCTAGCTGCTCCGGACTTCTCTTAAACTAGGGTGGTGGCCACATGAATGGACAGAAGGGGATGAATGGGAGATATATTGTGGAGGTTAGAGAGAAAGGAGAAGAATGGGGGAAGCAATGTGGATCAGCGGAAAGGATGCTGTATTTGGGGTTCCAAGACCTACATCTATGATCCTGTAATCCTATGAGGAGGACTCTACCCTCAGTAAAAATAGGGTGAAACTAAATGCTGTGAAATAATGACCAAAATTGGCCCTAAAGAAAGGGGTGTGTGTGTGTGTGTGTGTGTGTGTGTGTGTGTGGTGTGTGTGAGAGAGAGAGAGAGAGAGAGAGAGAGAGACAGAGAGATAAGGGAAGACACTAGGGAAAGGGAAAAGTTAGAGAAGGGAAAGGAAGGAGAAAGTATGCACTTCCTGTCTTTCATTGGGTAGAGGGAAGCAGGGGCAGGGTACCATGGTGGTAGTGTCAAACCTGGTTTGTATGTTAGTTTAGATGAACTGTTTTTCCTTTTTTTTTTTCTTGGGGGGAAGGGTGGAAGTAGTATTTTGGAAAGTGTAGGTGACACAAAACCGAAAGATAAACAGCAATTAAAAAAATAAACAAAAATAAGGTAGTTTGGAAGAGTGGTGGAGTTTAGTGAAAGATATAATGAGTTTGGTTTTGGCTATATTGGACAAATATCTCCCATCTGTCTCCTATCCACTCACACATTTTAATATTCAGTTGGAGATGTACAATTGTCCTCCAGATCTGAAATACACTCCCTTCTCACCCCTACCTCCTAGATTCCCGTCCTTCAAAGCTCAGCCCAAGTCCCACCACCTCCAGGAAATCTATCCCAATCTCCCCAGCTGCCCTTCTCTCTAACACGCTGTATAGGCTTCTCTATATGTCTTGTCCAAGGCCACACTGGGATTTGGACTATTTCTACTACAACCCCACATTGTTTGGTATAGAGGAAGTCTGATTAGGGTGGGAGGGAGCAAGGTTGGCTCCTCACTTCTTCATTCTTGGACAATAGGACGAGGCAACATAGTACAACATAAAGATTCATAGGACCTAAGTTTTAAACCCAGCTCTGTCACATACTACTTTTGTAACCTTGGGCAATCAGTAAACATTACACATAGCCTTCCATCTGGGAAAGGACCTCAGATGCCATCTGGTGTAGTGGGAGGTCAAGTGGTCACATGGATGATAAGCATCAGCCTCTGGCTCCAAAGCCAGAGCTCTTCCCACGGTACCATATTCAACCCCATCCTTTTACAAATGAGGAAACTGAGGCATAAAGAGGCATGAGGTCACACAGGGACCCATGGCTGGTATTGTCTGTGACAGAGTTGGACTTGCCTCCAAGTCCAATGTCTGTCCACTACTCAGTGCTATCTCTACTAAGTGTCTAGAGTGTGCTAGGCACTGAGGGCACAGAGACAAAAATGAAACAGTTTCTGGTCTCAATGACCTCTCAGGATTTCAGTTTCCTCATCTGCAAAAGGAGGGAGTTGGGCAAGACGGTGTTCAATCATGCCTGACTCTTTGTTACCTCATTTCGGTTTTCTTGGCAGAGATACTGGAGTGGTTTGCCATTTTCTTCTCCAGCTCATTTTACGGATGAGGAAACTGAGGCAAACAGGGTCAAGTGACTTGCCCAGGATCACACAGCTACTAAGTGTCTAAGGCTGGATTTGAACTCAGGAAGATAGGTCTTCCTGACTCCAGACCAGAGCCCAGTCCATTGCACCACCTAGCTGCCCCAAGGCAAGATGACCTGAGTACAAATCCTGCTTCAGAGACTTAACTGAGAAACCCTCAGCAAACCACTAACCTCTCAGCTCCAGTTTCTGTCAAAGGAGGGGGTTGCAGCCTCTTCCAGCTATAAGCCTGTAATCCTATGAAACCTCTAAAATCCTTTCCTGTGTTGTTGAAAATAGGCCTAGGAGCCCCTCCTTTTCTTATGGCCCCTAGAAGTTCACTCCTCTAACTCCTGCACCATGGAGTTTCTGCTGCCCTGCCTTGACTTGGTGGGGAGGGGCACTCCTCTCCCCCACCCCACCAACATGCAGCCCTCTAGCCTTCAACTCCTCCCAGAGCTGAGGTGGTGCTTGGCTGTATTCATAGGACCTCCCCAAGAGACTAGGCCCTTCCTGACTCCGTCCGATCCCTGGCTCTGCCCAGGTTCTGTGTCTTTTGGTGGGAGAGTGCAGCAAGGCAGAGGGAAAGGAAATAAGCAATTATGTAGCATCTACTACCTTCCAGGCACGATGCTAGGCACACATATCTCATCAGATCTTCACGACAACCCTGTCTTGTAGGTGCTATTATTATCCCCATTTTACAGCTGAAGAAACTGAGGCAAACAGAGGTTAAGTGACCTGCCTAGTCACGCAGCTAGTCAGTACCTGAAGTCGTATTTGAACTCAGGTCTTCCTGATTCCAGGCTCAACTGTTCAATTTACAGCTGTGAAGGAGGAGGAAGAGAAGGAGAAAGGAGGAGGAGATGAAAGGAGGAAAAGGAGAAGAAAGGGAAGGAGAAGAAAGAGCAGGGGATAGGAATGAAGAGAAGGAAGAGGAGCGTTAGAAAGACAGTGTGGTCCACTGGAAGGAGGCCTGTATTTGGGGTCAGAGGACCCAGGTTCAAATCCCGCTTGTCAGGAGGAGAGGAGGAGGAGGAGGAGGCGGAGGCGGAGGCGGAGGAGGAGGTGCGGAACTGGAGCCCTCAGTCCTGCCCGGGCGCCTTTGTCCTCCCTCACTCTCGCCGTCTATGCTCATATTTGGAGTTGGCTGCTCTTGCCCAGGAATTTCCCGTCATGCCTCCCGACGCCCTGTCGCCCGCAGCCGGGGAGGGACAGACAGCGGGGAGCCCGGCCAAGGCCACGGCGGCGGCCTCCCTCTGCCCCATCAGTCTGTCCATCTGTCACTCAGGCCGGCCGTCCATGCGCCCGTCGCCGCGCGCCCTGCGGCTCTGCCTCCAGCTCTGCCTTTGCCTGGCCGCGGCGGCTGCCCAGCAGCCGGGTAAGTGCATCCCACCTCCCCACCCCCCCCTTGGAAAGTTGGGGTTCGGGAGGGTGCGGCCCAATAAGGAGACAGACAAGACAGGGGCAGCTCCTCTCTGTCACCCCCGAGCCGGATCCCTCCCAGCTTCAATGACGCAGGGTCTGCGAGCGGGCCGGGGGGTGGGGGCTTCCCTCCCCCATTCCCTTAGCCCCAGGGTCCCCGCCCCGGACTGGGAAAGGAAGCCCCTGGCAGAGCAGAGCTGGGGGGCGGGCGCAGCCCACCTCTTGGGGAGGACGCTTAACACTGCCCTGAAGTGCCAGGAGTAACGGGCCGGCTGAGCCGGGTGGGAAGGACTGGTCCGCCTCCCATTCCGGGAGATGCGCCAGGACCCCGGGTGCAGGCGGGGTGTGATGCGGCCAAAAGAGAGCCAGAGAGGGAAGCCCCCTCGCACCTTTTTTGGTCACTTCTGCCCTAGTTAACGCACCTTGTGCTTAGGAGTCCTCTTTGGGCAGCAGTGAACAGGCCACAGTGTAACGTAACCCAGAAGTTGCCTGTCTTCCTTCTTATGTGTCTGGGTTTGTTTGTTTTTTTTCCAAAAGAGGAAAAAGTCACCTGAATATTTTCAGAGAGACTACTCTTACTCTCTGAATTCAGACTAATTGAATGAAAGGTGCTGTTCATGCCTTTGGCTTGGAGACTACAGGCTACTGTGTTTGGTGATTCTCAAATCCCAAATATTAGTGGTTTCAAAAAAGGATAGCTTTCTTCAAACCTTTTCTTTAAAATACTGAAGTGAAGAGGACTGAGTTTGGAGTCAAAGGAGCTAGGTTTGAATCCCACTTTGAAATTTACTACCCATGTGGCCCTGGGCTAATCTCCTGGGGCCTCAGTTTCCTCCCCTATAACAGGTTGGATTAGATTGTCCAGGGGGTCCTTTCCAGTTCTCATCTCTGTCGCTATGATCACATAACTCACCACTGCTCATGAGAGGAGTTCACTTTTTCTGGGTGTTCAATGGTCTCTTTTGGCAATCAGGGGAAGCCTGTGGCCCCCTTCTCAGAATAATGTTTTAAAATGCATAAAATACATCCAATTACAAAAATAATATGAAACATAGTCATTTTTTTTTTTTTTAAATAAGATCATAGGCTCCAGAGATTAAGAGCCCCTGGTTTAAAGGGACTCAGTTTATCAGGTGCAAACAAAACAGGAAAGTATTTGTACTGTTTCCATGTACTTTCGTATTTGTTACAGGCAAACTATTAGTCATCAAAATAATTTGGCACTTAAATACAGAGCACTGAGGAAAGGAAACTTTTGTTCATAGCAAAGTTTAGTTAATGACATTTTATTTTTCCTCTTGTTGTTAACTAGATTATCAAGATAAAGGGCTACTTCCACATTCATTCACTTGTGTTCCCTTTTAGGGCCTTTGTGAGGACTAGGATAAAGTTATTAAAAAGTAGCTCTTTTTAAAAAATTGAATGCTTTTTTGACAAACTAGAGAGAATTAAGTTTTTAAAATGTGTTTTAAGCTCATGCAGATTTTTGCTATATATGAATGTAACTAAATAGGCACAGAACTTATGTCAGAAAGAAAAACTTAATGTTATAAATGTCAGCTTAAGTAATGACCACATCAAGTTTGGTTTTTGTTTGTTTTTTGCTGTTGTTGTTGGGTTTTTTTGCTTTCCAAAAAAGATACCAATCTTTTATATAATCCTTTTATAGTTTTGAGGACAAACGAGGAGGCCCAAGAACTTTTCCACCTTTTATGGAAAGGGTTCTCAGGCTCTGCTTAAAGTAGCATGGACTGCCAGGGAAATAGTGCTGAGATTATTGTGTGCTTTGGTGATATGTTAATTGACTTAATACTTCTAGTCCAATAGTATTAGAAGAAGTACTAGTCCAAATAGTATTATTGACCATGACTTTGAATGCAGTAGCAGACTTACTGCTTGAATTCCTTTAACATTTATTCATATGATTTTGGTCCCAGTTAACAATTTAATTTTTGGTGACTTTTATTAGCATCCTTACAGGCATATCTTTTTTTTTTAAAGTTGAGCTGCAGCCTACCCTTTAAAGTCTTGTCACCGTGCCTAGACCATTTGCCTGCCAAGGTTACAAGTGCCTGGCGTCATTTGAGGCTTGAATCAACACACACACTCTATTTTATAATTTTTTTTTTTAAAAAAAGGTCCGGGTGTTTGTGCTAACATCCTAAAATACTAACCCCTACTTGAGTTTGGAATAATCGTTGTTATCCACAGTCCCACAATTCTGCTAAAATTTAGTAACTAGAAAAAAAAACCCTAAAGTTTTGTTGCTTTTTGTCCCAAATGCCTTAATGATCAGGCTCATAGGAAAGCTATTAAATATTGATTTATTGATGTAAAAGAAGATTGAAAGTAAATTAAAGAAAAACTAAACAAATATTGCTTGTAGCTCTGCCCCAACTTGGTCCCTACCTTCAAAACTTGAGCCGTAGGAAGCTGTTGAGTTATCAGTGTCTATATCTCATTATTTCTCCCTGTCCTGTCTTCCTCCCTGCTTCCTTTCAGTTTTCTGGATCTAGATTCTTATTGGCAGTATACAATATAATCCCAGCTAGGGCAGTCCCAATCGAACATGATGAGTTTGATTTTAGCTCTAGGGGGCTTAGACTAGCCTTAGCTACTAAGGGCCTTTTGAGGGTACAAGTACCTCTGTGAAGCCAGGCAAGCAGGCAGGAAGATCTCCAAGTCACTGTTACTCCCTTCCGTTCAGTTAATACTAAGTGCTGGACTTGTAGAGTTTGTGGAAGGGTAATATGAAGTAAAAAGACTGGAAAAGTAGGAAGGGGCCAGGTTGGGAAAAGCTTTACATGCCAGACTCTGTATTTAATTCTGTAGGTAATATGTTACCACTGGAATTTATTGAGTTAGAGAGTGTATGACATGGTAAGACCTATGCCTCAGGAAAATCACCCTTGGCAGCTATATGGAGGACTGATTGATCCATCTATTAGAAGGCCATTGTGATGATCCAGGCAAGAGGTGATGAAGGCCTGAGCTAGGGTTGTGGCTGTATGAGAGGAAAGACAAGGATCATATATCAGGGATGTTGTGAAGGTAGAAATGAAAAAAAAAAGTATGGATATTTGGGGTGACACCCCACATGAGTGAGGCATTGAGGACTGTATGAAGGTTGTGTAGGTTGTGACTCAGAGTATGTTGGGGCCCTTGACAGTAATAGGATAGAGAGGGTTTTGGGGAAAAGATAAAGAGTTCTGTTTTCAACATGTTGAGTTTGAAATGTCTGTGGGATGTGTAGTTCAAAATGTCCAATAGGCAGTTGGTGATGTGGGAATGGAGCTCAGGAAGAGAGACTAGGACTGGATTTATACATCTTGAAATTATTTGCATAAAGATGATAATTGAACCCCTGAGAACTAAAGAGATCATTGAGAGAGAGTTTAGAAAGACAAGAGGAGCCACTGGGGGACACCCGTGGTTAGTGTGTGTGACATGAATAAAGATCCAGTAAGAGAGATCAAGGCAAGATCAGCTTCCAAAGTAGCTATAGCTGTAGTGGCAGTTTCAAAGATGTCCTCAGGGAAGAAGCCTCTGTTAACCCCCTTCATTGATCAGTTTATAACTAGCTCATTCTTATCAACTTTGCTCACCAAGTTCAAAAGGAACTAAGTCTAGGGTATGAATAGTTTTTAATACACTGTGCTTCTCCTTGAGGGTTGGGGAGGAAAAGGCTAGCTGCCCCACGTTCAATGATTTAGGTTTCCTGTGGGTCCCTGCTCCTAAAACTATCACAGGAAGAGCTCTTCCTGATGCATTCACCATTAGTAATCAGCCAGTTTGCACAAATAGTAAAGGTATTTACTAAAAAAGGTGTAGCATGAATGGGAATAAGAAAACATCACTACCTCACCCCCCTACACCTATAGGAAGAATGCGCAGCCACAGAGAGTTCCCAAGTAGGGAATACTCATGGTCAAGGCAACTCATCCCTCTGGGACCACATTCTTAATGTCTTTACTCTCCTCATGGTGTACTGGGTGTAGCATTTCTGCTGGGCAGGTTGCCCCACTGTGCTCCCTGACCCCTTTAATTTCCTTTTGCCTCAGTTTCCCATCTGTTAAATGGGGATAGTAGCACTTAACCTCCCAGTGTTGTTGTTGTTCAAGCGTTTCAGTCATGTCCAACTCTTCATAACTCCATTTGGGGTTTTCTTGGTAAAGATCCTGGGGTGGTTTGCCATTTCCTTCTCCAGCTCATTTTATGGAGGAGGAAATTTAGGCAAACAGGGTTGAGTGACTTGCCTAGGGTCATACAACTAGTAAGTGTCTGAGGCCAGATTTGAATTCAGGAAGACTCATCTTCCTGACTCCAGGCCAGAACTCTACCCAGTGCACCATCTAGTAAGCCCTATATGAATGTTAGCTATTATTGTTGTTGTTATAATTCAACTTGACTCAATTGTGATATTCCCTGGGCTTGCTCTCTGCTAGTCATAGCATCTTCATGAGTTGCTTCATTCAAAGACACCACTGGTGACGGTGAGGAGAAGAGAGAAATCTCCTCCCTCATCTGCCATACTCTGAAAGATGTGAAAGAGAAAAAGAAAATGGCAGTCCTTTCTCTGTAACTAGCTCTCTTCTTGCCTGCCAAGGATGACTCTTCTCAGAGTTGTGCCTTGTCAGAATTTGCTCTGGCTTCCTTCAGTCAACCAATGGCTATGATTGAAAGACTTCTTCATAACTCCTGAAAGAGGAGAAATGTAATAATTTCTTTAAATTTCCTTTACCCTAGCCTGGCCCATCAAATTCTGAAAGAGTGGAACCTTTTATTAGGTGCAGACTCCCAGTTTCTCATCCTTTATAATCCATGAAGAAGTCACAAGATGTGTGCCCCTTAAGGTTTCAAACCCGTTACAAGCTGGGAGTACAACCTCTAAAAGTCTGAATGAGGCAAAACCTAAAAAACCCCATCGTTTTCCAATTATCTTCCTTTCAGATTCTG